GTAGCTGCACTTTAAGTCTCTGGAGAAGATAAGATCGTCTGCCTTTATAGGCCTCAGATACTGAAGATTATTTTTGGTAGAAGCACCATGTAGGCTCTTTCTGCAATGAGCAGCAGCTGACTGAATTTTAATAAGAAACCTGGACTACAGTACTTATTCTGTAGTCTTTAGAGAACAGTTGCTTTCATAAAGACTAGTTATCAACCTTGAATGACTGTGGATTATTCTGTGAAGGAGGATAAAGTAATATGTGTTCTTGTAAAATTAAATTTTACTCTTTCTTTATTCCTTCTCCTGAAAATCTGTATACACAGGAACTGAAAATCTTTGAACAGGTATTAAAATCTGTGTAAGTATACAAACTATAGTTGAGGGATAAAATTGTTTGCTTTTATAAAATATCTTTGATTACATGAGTATAATAAATGGTGTGCATATAACTGTGTGTCTATATGCTTTCCTTTAAATGTTTGAAAAGATGTTTGAAACTTGATTATACTATTTATAATTGGCACAGTACTTTGAATTATGCCAGTACTACATTGTAAAACAGAGTTGTATTTTTTGATATTTAACAATGCTTAACACTTTAAAATGCCACTTCTGAGGAATGAACATGGTATAACACACTTGACTATGTGTGATGCCAAACTTTTTTAAATAAAATATAAATTAAGCTTATTTATTATTTTCTTTGGTTTAATCTTGGTCATGTTTCAGTGTATATTTTTAATTTTTTTTCTGAAAGTAACACTTTGGCATGAAAATTACTGCAGGTTTTTGATGAATACAATGAATGTACGGAAATTCAACTGAATTTGCATGGTCTTAAGAATTTTTTCTGTGTGTATAAATTTAGCTGCTATTAACAGAAGAGAGAACTTTCTGTAAGTAGCCATGTGCGCTGATCAGATACAATTTTTCTGAGGTCTTCAATTAATCTCACTTAAAAAATGACTAAAACATGTCTTTATTGAATTATCTTTGAATAAAAATTTGTATATTATTTGTTTTACATTGTCCTTGATTTTTACCTACTTAGTTTGATATTAAGAAAGTTGCCTGTTCAATTTTTCTATTCTTTTGTAAAATTTGCATTTTTCTAACTTCACAAATCAGTATTTTTAATTTTTGCCAAAGTAACCTCTAAGGCAAGTCTGTTAAATCAATAACTGAAGTCATTGAAAATTGTTCTCCAAGAAAAAGTTAATACCTCAGCCATCAAGGAAAAGTTTCCTAAGGATTGGTGAAATTTAAAGTTTTTATATTCCTCCATCCTTAATATGGACAGGATAAAAGATAAAGATAAAACAAATAGCATTGGACCAAAAAAGTAAGTCAAAGAAAAAATTCTAAAATTCTATTCTAAAGCAACCGAGAAATAAATTGGTGGTTTTGATACCACAAAAAAAAGAACTAAGGAAATGGGAGTTGGGGAATGGGGTGGACAACTGAGATGCTGGACACAAAAGAATGGGAGGAGGGCAGGGCAGGAGATAATGGGATATGGCGGCTGTTGCTCAGGAGAGGGATTTAAAAGGTTAGCATGTGCTGTTGCCAGAACAGTCCAGAGGAAGAATTTTACCTATGATAAAATTTCTATTTATTTAACATAGAGTATAATATAGAGTATTCACATTGAAACATAGAACTATATTTAATACTTAGTTGAACTTTCCATTATAAGTGAAAATATAATGTTATTTATTAGAAAAAGAAAAAGTCTATGTTTGCCATATGAAAAACAAGAATTTCTGCCTTAGTGTGGCTCCAAGCACATCCATCATCAACAAACATGTTGAGGGTCTGATGAACTTGGAGCACTGCTGGCTGTTTCTGACAGTGGCACCAAGAAAAATGTATGGTGTTATCTTTTCTGATCACTTCCAAACACTGACGTTCCATGAAACTCCACAAATCTGTCAAAGATCTAACAAATTTTTAAGCTTTTCTTAAAGTATAATCTATTAGGGTAACAGAGTCTTAAATACTTAGCATGTCAAATACATCCTTGTCTTTACATTCTTTCTTCGAAGCTTTAATAGCTGTACAATACAACAGTTTGCCAAGGTTTGTCAGCTGTATTCATAACTATGATTTCAGGGGCTTTGAATTTGCCCCCTCCTCCCAACCAGCTTTTGTCTTTCCAGTTTGAAACGTTTTTTTAAGGTATTACAAAAGTGTTCTGGTTTGTTCTATTGTACAAAAAGAGGTCAGAAGTAAAGGGAGAAAGTTGTCTTAGAAGTCCTGCCTAGGAAACAGTACCACGTTAGAGCAAAGTTCAAAGCTAGATCCATGTACCTGCACTGTGAAGCAACTCTGCTGCCTGCTGTCTCTTGGATCTGTGCTTTTTTGGTTGACAGCAGTGATGGAGAGGGTTAAGGTGGATTGTGTGTATACTGCCAGGATACTTTCAGCTCCTTCACATTTTTTATGGACTCTGGCATATGATCCTTGGTATTTATTTTCCATTATAGATAGGATGAGGACCCAGGTATTTATCATCTCAGCTGATAATGAGTTGAGACTTATTAGGTACAAAGCATAATCTTTATGCTATGTGTAGTGATATGCTAATAAGCCTGCCTTTTGTTTCAGTTTGGTGTTCTACAAATTGCCTCCTACTGACCTGTATGGCTGCCAGCATCTCATTTAGGAGAGGAGGCTACATGGGGAGTGGAATCACACTTTGAATCGAGTCTAGGGTTCTAACCTTGGCTCATGATTCTAAGGGAAAAAAGCAGTGTGATTTACTGGAAAGCCTATGGGCATAAGAATCAGACAGCTCATTCACTCTATCCGTTGCTCTCTGTGACTTTAAATGTAACATAACCTCTGACTCTTAGACAAAATAGCAACAGAAGTGTCTATGTCACATACAAGGTTATTGTGGAGTTTGAAAGATAGGACATATTAATGTGCTTGAAATACAGAGGCCCTCAGTAAACTATGGCTATTGTTGCTCTTCTCTGAATTTCTCATTTCTTCACTGTA